AAGTTTTAAATGGTTGAAAGGGTCCATATTAAGGCTACAGAATGCATAATTCTATGACGGTAAGGGGAGCGAGCCGTGCCGCTGTACGTGGTCAGTCAGGGTGTGTCTGTGACTGAGGCTGAGGGTCACTGCAAGGACGGCCTGTGTTTATACACAAGACGAGCATGTTACCCTCCTCTTTAAATTGGCTGTGACATCTAAAAATGACTGCTGTGTGATTTCATTGAGACTTTTGGACCTCCACGAGATCACAGGATTAACTATTTTCCTGTCATTTCAGTTAAAACAGAAGATGTGTGTGTGATTCATCAGCTTCTTTGCTGTGTCCACAGTCTGCTTCAAAAACGCAAAAAGTCACTAGTACAACTATGAGACTATTTCTAAGTCCAAAAGATTTTTTGATGTTTTTGAAAGAAGTCTCTTCACCAAGGCTCACCAAGGCTGCATTTATTTGATGGAAAATACTGTAAAAACTGCAGTCAGCGGGTGTTGCATTGCATCAGTCCAAAAGAACTTAAATAAAAATCGCCCATCCATAAAAATTAAGTGTCTCACACGGCTTCGGGGGGTGAACAAAGGCCTTCTGTAACGAATCGATGTGTTTTTGAAAGAAAAATATCCATATTCAAAATGTAATAATCACTTGAATCTAGCTTGCACTCACTGTTGTAAACAGAAGCAGTTCCGGGGGAATGACGTATGAGGTCAGCTTTGCGCATGCGCTGCTCAGAAGTGACGCACGTGGAGAGATCGAAACAAAACAACGGTCACTAATTAGAAGTACAAAACGAGAATTTGTAAAGAAGAATGTCAGAGGATTTCGATATAAGCCAAGAGGAGACTTGTTTTCCTTTGCTAAAGTAAGGAAACTTTGCTTCTTATGGGTATTTTTCTTACAAAAACGCATCGGTTCGCTACAGAAGGCCTTTGTTCACCCCCGGGAGCCGTGTGAGACACTTTTTTTTATGGATGGGCAATTTTTATTTCACTTCTTTTGGACTGATGCACTGCAACACCCGCTGAGTGCCATTAAACAGCTTGAAAGATCAAAGACAATTTTTAATATAACTCCGACTGGATTCGTCTGAAAGAAGAAAGTCATATACACCTAGGATGCCTCGGGAGCATGTAAAACACAGCCTAATTTTCATTTTTGGGTGAACTAACCCTTTAAGACTGGTTTTGTGGTCCAGGGTCACATTTATAATGTTACAAAAGATTTCTATTTCAAATAAATGATGCTCTTTTGAATCATCTATTCATTAAAAAATTCTGGAAAATTGTATCATGGTTTTCAATAAAGATATTAAGCAGCACAACTGTCTTCAACATTGATAATAATAAAAATCAATATGCAAAAATATTGAACAAACCTGTTTTCAAAATTGATTAAAATGTACTACTTAAGGGTACAATGCTTCTAGCTCACAGCTTGGGGTTTAATTTGGGTTCTCAACCATTTCAGCATCTACAGTATTTTATTGAGAGACTGTAGCTTTCTTTCTGTGTGACTGTGAAATCTCTTGCACTTTAATTATCATCCGGACAGCATTAGCGTGTGTGTTTGTGTGTTCTGGAGAGAGTGGGTGTGTGTGCCACCCAGGGGAAGATGGGTGGAGGTGGGATGTGGTCATACACCCTCAAAATGACGCTATAGGAGATTCCAATCTAAATTGGCAGCCTAATTGATGTGTATACTTTTGATAAATGATATACACTACCGGTTTGGAATAATTAAGATTTTTTTATGTTTTTAAAAGAAGTCTCTCATGCTCACCAAAGCAAAAATACAATAAAATTCTGAAATATTGCTACAATTTAAAATAACTTATCTATTTGAATATATTTTGAAATGAAATTTATTCCTGTGACGAAAAGCTGAATTTTCAGCATCATTAGACTGGAGTAGTGACACTGAGAATTCAGCTTTTCATCACAGGAATAAATTACATTTTAAAATATATTCAAATAGAAAACAGTTTTTACAGTATTTGTTATCAAATAAATGCATGCCTTGGTAAACATAAGAGACTGTTGACCTGTAGTGTATTACTTCATTACTTATTAATATTCATAATTAACCAGTTCAATTTTTGTCTGATTTCATATTTTTGCAAAAACATTTGATTATGTTTAAAAACATTTACTGGAAGAACATAATACCATTCTGATTTTTTTTTTTTATCATATTGTAATACAAAACAATTGTGAATTAGGTTTTGTAGAGAACATTTTACTTTTTGAATGTTTCTGTGCCATTGCCTGTTAAATAAACGCATTTGCTGTATTTAGTCCTTGTGCTGCTGAAATGTTTTGATCTTTTGTTTGTGAGTGAGCTTCAGTTTACAGGTGAAGGCTATAATGATTGACTTGCTTTCATCAAAGTGGAGCAATGCTAATAAATAACCCTTTGATTCAGATGCTGTTCATGAATAATCTTGATTTGAACAGTTTACTTTCTGGTCAAAAGATAGATATCATGTGTTTGTGGTCTGCACAGCAGATGAAGTATTTTTAGTATAGTTAAAAGACTTTGAGTTCAACACAGTAGAATGATTAAGTTTTATGGTGTGTATTAATTAGGCTGAAGTATACAGCTCTTACTGAGGCCTTTACTCCAAAAAAAAGTAGATTAAGTTGTTGTACGAGGTAGTCATGCATTTTAAAGACAGTATTATTCACTGAGCATGAATTATAAATATGTTTACAAACACCATAGCTCAAATGAAATACCATGAGCCTGGAGTCTGTGGTTCTAATGTGTGAAAAATTATGATTATTCAAGCGGCTTCATCTAGAAAATGGTTTAAGTGGGAGGCTGTTGGTTTATAATCTGCCACATGTGCATTTACGGTCTGTTTCAAAATTGCTTTAGTTTTGCCTTGGATGATGAAACCCACTATTACCACACAACATATTGTTCCAGTTATAAATATCAAAAATTAAATTGTCATAATTGGGCAATAATATACAAGAGGCCATGCTTTACATTGAGAAAAAAAGTAAATAAGTGTGCTTAACTGTATTGAATGTGCACTTTTAGTGGTTTCAAAACTGTACATGCATATAATATAATATTAATGAAATAAAAGGGCACTAAAGAGCATATTTCCATTACTCTTTCTTAGTACACTTTTAAAATGTATTTTGTAATTTTAACTGAATATTATTTAATATTACATTTCAAGTTAATATATCTTAAATGTAATAAATTGCAATGTCATCATTACAAATGTTTCAATTCCTTATACATTATGACATATTTTTAGTGTACCATAAATGCTTGTCAGTACATCCAGCAGTACAATTTAACCATATTTAAAAGACAATAGAAGTAATTGTGAAAATACATACAAAGATGTATTGTACTTAAATCCAACTTAAGTGTGTCAAGAAAGTTGTCTTAAGTTCAACTAACTGCATTTAAACTATATACAAGTTTGGAATAATTAAGATTTAAACATTTTATTTTTTTAAATAAGTCTCTTATTCTCACCAAGTCTGCATTTTTTAATAAAAAAAAAACAATAACATTTTGAAACATTATTACAATTTAAAATAACTCTTTTCTATTTGAATATATTTTGAAATTAAATTTATTCCTGTGATGAAAAGCTGAATTTTCAGCATCATTAGACTGGAGTAGTGACACTGAGAATTCAGCTTTGATCACAGGAATAAATTACATTTGAAAATATATTCAAGTAGAAAGTTGCACTGTACTTAAACCCTACTTAAGTAGGTCAAGAAAGTTCTCTTAAGTTCATCTAACTGCATTTAAATTGAAACTATTAACACATTTTAATGTAATTGTAAATAACATACAATTAAAGGTCCCCTGAAATGCTTAGAAACACGCAGCATTACTCTATGTGTTGACGTCATTTGAACTGAAACAGGAAGACAGGGCGGGACATATCAAGCAGCCCCGCCCCTTTTTAAAATAGCCAATAGCGTTCGTTTATATCACTGCTTGGGCTAGAGCCGTTCAGAGCCGTTGAGCTCCGTAAAGCCGCATTTGGCAGGGTATGCCAGCCACAATCTCATCCATATTGCTATAAAATATAGCATTCTGTGTAGAATTCAAATAGCTCCGATACATTTTGTGGTCTGCGCCGACTCGCGCATGTGATCCGCTCCGTGCTATCGTGTCTCTGGACCGGAGCAGAGTGTGTGCGCGGTGCGGTGCTTAGCGTGACACAGCGCGAAAGAGCTCCGTAAAGCCGCATTTGACAGGGTATGCCAGCCACAATCTCATCCATATTGCTATAAAATATAGCATTCTGTGCAGAATTCAAATAGCGCCGATACATTTTGTGGTCTGCGCCGACCACCTTAAGACTAACATATTGATACTAACACCCAAAAAACTTTAATTTTGATTTCATGGGGACTTTAAGTGTCTGAAAATGTTACATTCATTTTGCACTTAAAGTATATTTCCATAATAATTACACTTTTTAAAAGTATCAAAACCCAACACACTGCCTTTTTTAAAAACAATTACTGCATATGTAGTGTGTCAAACTTCTAGATCTAGTCCTTGACATGTAAACTAATGTTGGTCTTTGGTGTATATTGCATAACTGGGATGCTGTTTTGACCAATCAGGACCGGATCTATCTGTTTCAAAATAACCACAATCATGCATATTGTCCTGTATATCTTTTGACAGCTTTCTTCAATCTGAGAATCAATGGCAGTGAAGGAAGTGCAGAGGTGTGCTGGCAGTGATGCCTGTTTGTGACTGTGAGTGAGGGAATGTGTTTTTCTTTTAATTATATTGTGGGAGCTGTTGAGCTCTGTCTGACAGAAGCCCTGATAGCTGTTTCTCACTAAGCCCGATAACAAGGCCCTGTTGGGCCGGGACTAAAGCTACGGCACTGATGAACAAAAGACAGGAGCTTTAGTCAGGGGGCCGCAAACTGCTGACTCTCAGCGCCAGCTAATGCAGCATTCTGTCCTGTCTCCCTGTTGTCAACCTCTGTCCACATCCTTCTCTTTTTTTTTCTCCACCGCATTCTCGTTCACTTTTGACACCAACATGCCCCCCAACAAAGAAACCCGAAATCACACTCTCTGTGTCTACCTCCGACCCCGTCCTGTATCGATTTGCCCTCACTTCACGGCTCAGTGACCGTCTCCGCTTCGTGCTCGCTGGAAGCGATCTGCTCACAGCACGCCTTCCCGAGGTCTGACCCGTATCAGTGGTGCGTGGGATGCGTGTTCGGTGTGCGTGAGCGTGTATCTTGTCTTCTGCCATGTGTGAGTGTCTGCGAGGGATCTTCCGTGTCACCTGGGCACCCTCTTCAGACGCAGGTGGGTTTGCTGACATAACACCCCTCGTGAAAAATAAGTGTGCTTAACTGTATTGAATGTGCACTTGTAGTGTGTTTCGAATCTTATAAGTGTATTTTATAAACTTGTAGACTCGTAGACATTATAATATTAATGAAATAAAAGGCAACTTAAAGTATGTACTTAAAGTATGTTTCTCAACACACTTAAGTACACAAAGTCCAACAGTATAGTGTTTCTCGAGGTTCTGGTGCTGTAAGGTCAAGGTGCTCTCTGGTCTAGGGTTTATCAAAAAATACTTCAGAATGACCATGGCACTCTTGTGAATTAAAAAGCCTTTATTATCAAGAAATCTAAAAACTCTCACTTAAGTACACTTTTAAATAGTGCACTTTGTAATAATGTCAAATTAAAAGCTTTACTTTAAATTATATTTTAAATCACTATATTTTAATAACGTTTTGTCGTGCTTTAAAGAAATACGCTTATTTTGATGTTGACTAACATACTAAAGCAAGTACTTGATTATTTGAACTATACACTGAAAAAAATGATACTAAATTGTTTATGGTAAGTGGTTGCAAACATTTTATTTTAGCTACATTTAAAAAAACTAAATTTGTTTATTTAAATGTAGCTAAAATAAATTGCTTGCAACTACTTACCTTAAAAAATTTAGTAAATTCAATTAATCATTTTTTTTCGGTGTAGTTTGTTATTTGATATTACATTAAAAGTTAATATTTTAAATGTACTAGTGTAAGTCACCTGATCATTACAAATGACATATATTTTTAAATACATGACATACAAGTTTCAATGGCATTCAATGACATTAAAGTATATTTTACTATACTTTTATATTTCACTAAAGTATATTTTAGTTTACTATGTCAGTACATTTGGAAGTACACTTTAACCATATTTCAAAGACAATAGAAGCAATTATGAAATTACATATAAAGTTGTATTTAAGTCACAATTAAAAAAAGAGTCAAAAAGCACTTAAAAAACAGCATTTAATATAAATTTATACTATAATACACTTTAATTGTAAATAACATTCAATTAAGTGTCAATAACATTGCATTCAATTCACAATTAAGCATTATTGTTTTTAAAGTATATTATTTCTGTAATAATTACTGTTTTTAAAAGTAAGCTAAAATCACAAGGGACTGCATGTCATGTATTCGCCATGATAACAACAGTCCATTCAGTTGCTATATAAAGGATCAGAAGTTCAGTTTTATTTTGTTGCTGTTTAACCTGCCTTACATTATGCTCTTGTAAATGAAGATGAGATTTAGAGTAGACACTTACAGGTGTCATTAGTGTATAATGGGCTCATTATCAGCACAACAATGTCTAACTGGTTAGAGAACTGCAGTTAGAAGTGTGTGGCTAGTGCATTGTCCTCAATTTTATTTTCAAACTTAGTGGTTAAGTTTCTTATAAGCTCATTTTAGTGGATCCAGTGACATATACTGTTGGATCCAGATCAGAAGTTGCTTTGGTGGCATTCTCAAACCAGTTCCTCTTTTAAAGGTCCCATATTGTCAAAACATGATAACTGAGGTCTAGGTGCTATGTAACTACCATATAAGTTTCAAAACAGTCAGTCCACAGTAAAATTCACACAGCCTGCTTAAAGTAGCTGTGATTTTTCACGAACCGTTGTGATTTCCGTAAAAAGTTGACGTCAGAACTACACAGTCACCGCCTTCAGTCACCACCCCGAGCACCGCCCACCGTCCCACTCTCCTTTTGCCAAACCCCCAGACAACATCACGTCCATGC